GGACAGGAAACCTAGGGCAGGACAGGAGGAATGGATGTTAACCCCAAAGCTCGGGGAGGACCGTGCAGGAGAGAAACAGAACTGACACTGCACCCAGAGGGGAATGGGCAGTGACACTGCACCAGGAGGGGAACGGGCAGTGATGCTGTGCCCGGAGGGGAACGGGCAGTGACGCTGCATCCAGAGGGGAACGGGCAGTGACACTGCACCAGGAGGGGTACGGGCACTGACACTGTGTGTTCCTTGACGGCTCCCTCAACAGAGCACCTTCAATGTTGGAGCAGGGTCACTGGGAGCTTCTGAGCAAGTGCATCGTAGGAATGATTTTTGAGAGAAAAGACTTCCATGGCCTTGGCTGGGTTTGAAAGAGGTGGCCGTGGCTGGGACCCGTGGCCGAGATCTGTGGCCATGGCTGATATCGGAGGCTGGGTCGGTGGCTGTGGCTGAGATCCATGGCTATGGGGAAGCATAGATAGGAAAAGAGACCAGGGAAAGTGTTTTTCCATTTACTGTTTTTAGTAGGAAAATTAAAGTATTTTTACATTTTTTCTTGTTTAACCTGTCTGCAAGCTAAATGTACTTTGCAGATCTTCATAACTGTACACTTTGAACTCTAAGATTATATTTCAGGCTAATATTTAAATTTTGTTTCTCCTCTTTTTAAATAACAAAGAGCTACACTGCTTAGTGAATGGGTGTCCTAAGTGTCAACCATTTGTCCTAAGACAGGCTGATGCAGGAGACATCACAGTAAGTGGGCAGCTGCATGGAGGGAGAGGGCGTTGTGCAAGAGAAGCACTCTACTTCCCGGAAGCTATGGATGTTGGGGACTCGCGGTTTGGGTTGCTATGCAGTAGGCATGAGGATGGAAACCTCGTGCGTGCCCCACGGTGTTCTGGAAATTGGGAGACAGAGAAAAGCTGGACAGTTAATGCAATGCAGTGTTCTCTACTCTTATCATTTAACCATCTGTTCTTACATTTAGGAGAAAAGGGAATGTGTTGGCTATAAAGAGACTTGGCATTTTGCGTCTGTCTGAGAAATAGGAAGACGCCCTGAAATCTGTCCCTTGGGTAACAAGACATCTGCTGAGGGCTGGGACTGGGAGGCTGTGTGAACACAGATATGTTGGTTCTGAATCCCATCCATCGGCTCCAAACCGAGGACCTCTCCGTGCTCGGGAATGGGGCTGGCCTCATTCCTACGGGACAAGAAAATAAAAAGGAAGGAAGACAGACGGGCAGTAATAGAGGAGTTTGTGAGATCAGAAGGACTTTGGCACACTTGGCTTTAAACATCCTAGTTCTCGTCCTGTCTTACCTGTGGTCCAGGATGTGACGGAAGGGCACCTAAGTGGAGGAAGTAGGAGTGAAGCAGTAAGGAAGGGATGGTTGAGGCTGGGAGGTCCAGAGCATGGCGGGGTGTGGAACGGCGCATGGGATTGGTGGCCTTGCAATGAAATAGCATTCTTACCCTGTGTAGTGAGCAAACTAAGGGGAGTTTCAGCAGTTATGAAATTTCCCCTTTGCTTACAGATTAAGTCACTACCAGAAAATGATACAAACTAAACACCTTCTCCTCAAAACCTATCTCACTGACTACTATTATTACGTCAGAATTCCATTCCCTTGAGAAAACTTAGGGACATTTTCTCCAATGGAAAATACATATCATACTTAAGAATCATAATCAACTCTTTAAATAACTTTGTGTTTTAGCAATATGAGTTTGAATTAACAATTGCTAACTTAATTATAGACTACATTTGCATAATACCCTCATTCTTCGGAAAAACACCTTTCCATATAGTCTTCTATCCCCAGATTCTCAACATCTAAAGCCCAGAGAGAAATTTGATTTCTTATTTTAGAGACAAGAATTCTGAAACTAAGCTTGATATTAATCAGTGCTGTCTTTTATTGAATGATTAAACATACGAGAACCATGCTATGCTCTTTATATATATATATATATTATCTCATTTAATGTTCATGATTAAACCATGAGCTAGTTAGCAACTCTATTTTCTCTGGCTCTAAGATACCACAAATTGAGATCAGACTGATTCGAAAGTCTATGCTTTGAAATCACTACAAGTTACTGACAATGTGACTTACTCAAGCTCAGTGAGCTAGTAAGTGACAGAAGAGGACATAGAAATAGTCTATTTGCCCTTAATTTTTTCCATGCAACCCTAATGGAGAATTTTAATGTAGTGGATAATCAGTCTTAAAAAGTCATTGCACATTCATTAAAAACAAGTATTTAATTAGTTCATATAAATAAGTATGTATTGGGAATTCTAATAAATTTAAGTGTTTCAAGCAACCCTATTGTCTTTATTATTCCTTCATTTATGATATGCTGGTTCCCGTCTCATGCTCTAATTAGGTGGAAACGACATGGTATTTAATAACTAAGTATTTAATAACTACGTTTTTAAAAGGTTATGTTTAATAAACATGAATATTCTTGAAAGAAATTATTAGGATTCCTTCTTGGAGTTGTGTTTAGTAAAACTGAATACTCTTGAGAGAGATTATTAGGATTCCCGAGAATTGTTTTTGTTCTGCATTGGGGGAAGGGCATTAGAAGAAAGCAGAATGGTTGCGCGCAGATAGAGGTGTATGCTTACAAAACTAAACACAGGAAAGGAACCTAAGAGTTACAACCAGAGGGAGAAGTAGTGCTTTGGAGGGGCATGAGAAGGGGACTGTCATATCACGTTGGGTCAGAAGGGGAATCTGCTAAGGCCCATGACATAAATGATGTTTCAGAGGAGCCCTAAAGGAGAGATAGAAATCCAAAAGGCATGTGGGGTAGGGCAGTCACACACACAGGGGGCAATGTAAGTCATAGCAGAGACTGTCGTTTTCTTATCTGTCGTGTGTGTAGATTAGTAAAAGGCACCAGGCTGACACCTGCGACCTTATCGCAGAAGGTCTTGAATACCATTGTGTTTGGGGCAGATGCGGGAGAGTGAGAAGTGAACACTGGACTGGGCGGAAGGAGACGTGCGTGAACATTTCAGCGGTGGCGTTCGTGAACTGAGTGAACTTGGGCAAATCACTTAATCTTTTTGCGCCTTCCCTTCCTCACCTCCAGTGTGGATGTAATGATGATTACTAAAGGCTGGGTGTGGATGGGAAGGCTCGCGTGGAGGTGTTCTGAAACTGTAAGCACCGCAGGAGGCGTCGAGGCCATCGCAGTCGTCATCATTGTACATGTGGTGGTAGATGAATGTCTTGTAGAAGTGGTGCTTTCCGTTGCCATCTGCACTTCAGGAAAAATAGGTTGACAGACATGTGGAGGATGGCTTCATCACAAGTGAAGAAAGAGAACCAATCAGGAGGCTCCTAAAGTCATTCAGGTTAAAAGTAACAAAGGTGCGATTAGGGTGGTAGTTCGGGTAACCAGAAAGAAAGGCAGATACATTGCAGAGATACTGTCTAATTTTCTGTTCATTGAAAAATGGACTGAGGACCCACTCTGTTCCTGGACACAGTCTTCACAAGAGACAACAGGGATAGAGACGCAGAGTAGGGTGTGAGATGTGAGAGGCAAGAAAGGGTCACTGCGTCTTCCCGTGCTTTCGGTTGATGAAACCTTGGTGCCAGCAAATGGAGAAGGGACACCTCAGAGGAGCCTAACCCACCTACGGTACATGTGTCGCGTGGGCGGGAGATGACGGAGGGTCAGTGATCCTCCCAAGGAGGTGTGAGTGCACTCCCTCTCCCTGCTCCCTGGGTGGGTCTACACCACCTGGCGTGCTGGGGGAGGAGACTTACCCGGGGAAAGAAGGCATAAGACCATCCTGAAGAAACTCTCACTCCAAACACCTGACAGAACGACCCCCAACCAAGGGAACTGAGAACACGTCTTCGCCTGAAGCAGTGGTTCTCAACCTTCTGGCCCTTTAAATACAGTTCCTCATGTTGTGACCCAACCATAAAATTATTTTCGCTGCTACTTCATAACTGTAATGTTGCTACTGTTATGAATCGTAATGTAAATATCTGATATGCAGGATGGTCTTAGGCGACCCCTGTGAAAGGGTCGTTCGACCGCCAAAGGGGTCGCGATCCACAGGTTGAGAACCGCTGGCCTAAAGAGAATTGCTCACGTCTTTTAAACTGGACCACCTGCTCCTCTGCTTGCTTGTGTTTGGAAGTGGATGTAAATCAAGCAGTTGGGTTCAGGGTCTCTGTCAACTCTAAGTCAGTTTCCTGGTCATCAGAAATCGATTCAGTTTAATCCACAGTCACTGAGTGAACGCAGGTATCTTCCAGGAGATGGGCTGGCGAGGAATGCTGGGAGTGACCGGGGGACCCTGCCCCTCTCCGCTTCCTGAAAGTGCATGTCAGGAAGCATGTGGCAGACCACTGCATGTGACCCAAAGCTGTCTTCTTAATGCTGTTATAAACATCACCACACGCTCTCTCTTGGTTTCATATGTGTGATTGTGTCTTCACGTCTCCATGAATGACATTTTTATGAAGAGGAAAGTGATGGGGGGCGGGGAGCTTACTGGAAACTCATACTGATGTGAGTTTTAATAAAATAAACAACTCCTGCAGTGCTGATTCCTAAAGTTGGAAGTGCGGTATGCAGTCCTGCAGAAACACCCTGTGAATTTTGTGGGATCAAGTCCCAGAGAAACAGCCCCCTGTGTGTGGCATTTTCCATAGAACTTTTACCACCGTGTTGTCCCTTTACTCAGGAGCTTAATTGAAGTGAAAATAGGACAACCTTGTAGCTCTACTTAAAGTAGAAAGGGGACATGAGGCTAGCCACGGAACCACGAATTTGGTAAAATTATGGGGAGAAATCGTAGAAGTGGGCTTCACTGTGTTGTTCTTTTAAATCCCTCTCATTCCCTTTCATCTCTTGCTCATTTCTTACCCCTCCGTGCTTTAGCGAGGCGGGCTTTGTGGCTGCTTCAGATGCTCCCGACTTGAGATGCGCTCTGTATTAATGCTGTTTTGTTTTCTTCCCTTTAGGAGATGACCTGGCTTCCACCACTTTCTGCTATTCAGCCGCCTGGCAAGGTGGAACCCAGCAAATTTTCATTCCCAAATAAGGTGAGGTCTGGTGTCACTCAGGAGCAGCCTGCTGTCTCCACACAGAATTTCCCTGGACCAGTGGGTCCTCCCTTTATTGTCTTTTCCTTTGAAAATATTCCTGCCAGAGGCATATGGATCTGATTTTCAACATTTTTCAAACATACATTTATTCATCAAAGGGGAAAATGAAGATTGCAATTTTACACCTACACTTCCATACTTAATGCAAAATGTGATGCATATTATGTGTCATTTATCGAGAACATTTGTGAAGTTGCTTCTTACAAGTGTTATACATTCAGTGTGATTGCTTATTTTTTCCTAAAAATTGCTTATTTTTTCCTAAATTAATAATGAATCTTAAAATCAATGTCTTAGAATTGAGGGCAGGTAGTATTTAATTCCTCTTAGATATCTTTTATAAAGCATAAAATATTATCTAGGAATTTAAAAGAAAAGATTTCCATAGATTTCCATATTTTCTAAAGACAAGTACACAAAAAGAATAACTACAGAATATATTTAAGTTATACATGAGTCTAATACGTTTTGTTTGAATACAACATATAACTTCATACTCATTATAAAGGTAAAATAATGTAAATAGAAGGAGTGAAATATGAAAGTTTCCAGTACCCTCATCCAGATTTTATTTCCCTTACCCAAGGGACTACATTCAAACAAGAGTTTGATGTATAACGTTCCAGTCATTCTCTCTGTGCATTACATATACATGTATGTGCATATGCAGTTTTTAAAAATCATAAATGGTATTGTTGCTAAAAGCATTTCTTCTAAGGGTTGAAATTTTTCCAGATACCCACAATACATAAATATCCTTGCTAAGTAGTCATATCAACTTTCTCTAGTGAATTATTGAAATAATTATTTATTATAATCATCACAATGATAAATTCCATTCTAAGAGTTTTTTCCTTTTCTTAACAAAATGTATTTGGAGAGCTTTCCAAGTGAACCTATATTTTCTTCATTCTTCTTAACAGCAGCAAAGTATTTCCTAGTATGAATTTGCTGTAATTTATTGACTCAAACTCCTTTTGATCGACATTCAGATTGTTTACGGTTGGTTATTATCACAAACGCTGTTTGAACAAACAGTGTTGGGCAGGTGCCTCTTTGAATGTCCCGAGTACTAATGCCGGAGCAGGAACGTGGTGCTGGAGGCATCCAAAGCCATAATTCCTCTGGACTGCATTTCCAGAGTACTTTGTTGTGCATCTTTGCCAGCGTTTAATATTATTTGACTTTTTATCCTTGTTTCTGGGTGAAAATTTGCTGTCTCATTGTTTTCATTTGCATTTCTCCAATTTCTTCTGAGTTTAACAATGGGCTGTTTTTCCTTTGCAACTTATCCAGTCATAGTCATTGCCCATTCATATCACATTTTAAAAAATGATTTGTTAGGAACTCCTTATTGCTTATTCATGTGTTTATTATATATGATATAACTATATATACATATGATTTATGTACCTTTTATACGAGCAAAGTGTTTAATTTTTGTCAGAGATTTTTAAAAAAGTTTCCCTACACCAGTATTCTAACAATGTTCTCTATTTTATTCTAAGTCTTTTATAGTTTTGGTTTTAGGTTTAAAAAAATGTTGTGACTGGTTTAACATAGAATTTTAGTTGTATTCTTTAAATGGCTAGTAAATTATTATAACACTATTAATAAAATTAGCTCATATTCCTCCCCCCCACACACACACTATTTTGAAATACCATGTTTATCAGCAATTTAATTTCTCATAAATACATAGATTTGTTTCAGGAGTATCTATTCTGTTTTTTCGGTGTATTTACTTCTTTCCCAATAACTCATTGTTTAAATCAAATGCTGACAAGCTTTTTCTGTCAAGGCTCAGGACATAAATAGTTTAGACTCTGCAGACAATATATAAATGAATGACTGTAGCTATGTTCAAATAAAATTTTATTTATAGAAACAGGTGACAGCATCTATAATAATAGAAGCGTAATATGCTAATTAGACCAGACATCTTTCCGGAAGACCTTCCAGACGAAGATGGGCCTGCGAGGGAAGCCTGGGTCCTGGTTGCCTGCCAGCGGCCGGGGGGAAGCCGGGTCTCGAGTGCCAGAGGAAAGCCGGTGCCAGCAGCTGGGGGAAGGAAGGCCTACTCTTGCACAAATTTCATGTATCAGGCCTTTAGTAATATACTAGTATAAAGAATTCATAATTCAACAATAAAAGGATAGCTCATTTTAAGAATGGGCAAAGGATTTACATAGACATTTCTCCAAAGAAGATCTACAAATGGCTAATAAGTATATGAAAAGATACTATCACTATTAGTAATCAAAATCGCAGTGAGAAAATGAGTCATACCTACTTAAATAGCTAAACCAAAGACAGTAACCAGTGTGAGCAAGGGTGTAGAAAAATTGGAAACCTGCTCTCAGTTGCTGGTGGGATCATAAAATGTTACAGCCTCTTTGGAAAACATTTAGGCAGTTTCTCCAGCACTGCATTATCCTCTGAACCAGCAATTCCACTCCTAGATATACACCCAAAGAATGAAAACACATCCATACAAAACTTAGACATGCACATTTGTAGCAGCATTAATCATAGTAGCCAATAAGTGGAAACAACACAAATGTTGTTGATAAATAGATACACACAAGTAACATATGGAATGCTTTTCAGGCATAAAAAGGAGTGAAATGGCGATACCTAATACAATGTGCATGAACCTTAAACATGTTATGCTAAGTGAAAGTCACAAACAACCACATACTATGTTATATGATTTCATATATTTGAAATGTCCAGAGTAGGCAAATATAGCAAGACAGAGAATTAGGTTAGTGGTTTCTTGAAGCTCAGATGTGGGGAGGTAGGGTTGAATGTTGGCTAAAGGGTAAAGGATATTTTTTTAATTGATGATAATATTCTAAAATGTGTTATGGTCATAAACTCTGAATACGTTAAAAAGCATTCAGTTGTTTAAGATAAAACAAATCAAAGGCTGGGCTATACTTGGCCTGTGGGCTATATTTGGCTGACTCCTAGTTTAAATTATTAATGATTTCTGGCCTATTTATACATACATGTGGTCAGGCCAGTATCCTTTTTTGTTATCCAAAAGTCCTGCCTATTGTACATTTTTCTCTTCCAGATCAATTTAAGAATCATCTTGATGACCTGTTGATCCTTAAAAAAATCCTCTTGGAATTTTGTTTGGTGTCTAACTTAATTTAAGAAAGTATATCCATTTGACAATATTATCTTCCTGTCCAAGAATTTGGAATATCTCTTCACTTCTTTTCATATCTTCTTGCATGTTCTTTGGTAAACATTTTGTTCTTGTAGGTCTTTCACATTGGTTCTGTGGTTTATTCACAGATATTTAACAGTATTTTGTATTTAAATGAGCTTTTTTTTTTAAAGTTTTCATGTTTTAATTAGTCCTCAGTGGTGTGAAGGAAATTTACTGGATTTTACATATCTACTTACTGAATTCCTTCCGGCTCTGGTAGATTTTTGGTGAGCTTATGTTTTTCTAGTAGGGGACAATAGAATGCATAGCAAGGGGGAGGTGAATGCTGATGGTGACTAGAAGTGGATGACTTTTCAATAGAGAGCTTAAGAAAGACCTTTCTGAGGAGGTGGCATTTGAGCAAATCCCTGAAGCAGGTGAGGGAGCAGGTCGTGCAGATGAGGGGCAGAGAGGTCCACAGAAATGGAAGAGAAGGGGAAAGGCAGGAGCATACCTGGGTCTTGGAGGCACCGCAGGGCCAGTGGGGCCTGGGCAGAGCCAATGGGCACAGAACAGCCAATGACAGAGCGGTAACGACAGAGTGGGGCTGCCAGGACACGGGAGTATCAGATTGGGCCTACTTGGGTAACCCAGAATAATCTCCCACCCCACACTCATCATTAATCCAGGCTGCAAAGCCCCTTTTGCCATGAGAAGTAACATGTTCACAGGGTCGGGGAATGAGGATACAGACATCTTTGGGGGGCCCTTGTTCTGCCTACTGCAAGACTGTCATTAATTTTGACACGTACTATACCTCTTCCAACCTGTATCTCAACTAATTAGTGTTCTGTCAGCTGGTGGCTTGCATTTCCTTAATTAGATAGATTATTAACATTTGAGATTATCACTGTATTGCCACCATGAAGGAGCTAGAATTATTCATAGAATTTGAGGGGCAAAATCTCCTAAATGAGTAACAAATAATTAAATTAAGCCTAATCTTGTTAAGATTAAAGGGGCGACTTGACCTCACCAGGAAAGTTGATTTAACTGTGCATCTGAGTTGGCAGCGCCACTGAATTAATTAGCTAAATACTTCCGAGAATTTCCCCGATTTATCCGGGTATGGAAGGACATAACGTATAGTAAGGTCAGTTGCGACCAAATGTGGGTATTTCTTCTATTCTCTGAACACTTCATCTGGAGTCCCTGTTTCCTGGACAAATGCTACCAGGCATGTCTGCCTCATTCTTCAAATCTCAAGAGTAATTGAGTTGGGTAAAGGAAAGAATACGTGACTTCTTTAAATTGGCTGCCATTATCGGGTGTTTCAACAAAGGTGGGGGGCGAAGAATTTGCTTTGCCCTTTTCCCTTCATTTCTGTAGCAGTCTCAAAAGTTGTGAAATGCAAATAAAGAACTGAAAATTGTAGAATTTCCCCATTCTCAAAAGGCATACGGGCACACCTAATGGCTTTTCACAAACAAGTCACAGAGCAATGGGTGCTGAGTCCGGTGATCAGCCCTGGCCTGAAACTGTCCTGGCTGGCAGATTTGCGAAGCATTGTGTGGCGGAACGCCGGCATCCTGACAGAAATGCCCGTGCGCTGGCCTCCTCTGGGTGCCCAGAAGGAGAACGGAAGCCGGGGGTGAGGAAAGTGGCAAGTTCCATTTTATTAAGTAGCATTTAGTATTTAAACAAAGAAGAGTAATGCTAGGATGCCTCAAAAACTACCACGAAATGTTTGGACTAAAAACTCCATGGTTAGCATTACCTCAAATCAAACATTGAAATTCATTGTAAATTACATTATTTTAACTATTTGAGGCTTTATAGAATAGGATTCAGAAGAAAGTGATTAAGAGGGGTGGAAGGCGATGAAACCAAGTCAGATGGTTCTTTTCCTCTAGGAAATATCTCACTGTGTATGGGGAGAATAAGAGAAGATAGTTTTGCATTTCTTGCCTTCTGTACTTCTAGCAATGGGCTCGTAGACAGACAAGGAGAGGTGTGAGTGGCCCAGTCGTCAGGTGGTTCCAAAACGCAGTTTTGCAGTAATGCTCGCTCGCACAGTAGGAGTATTGTCCTCCGTCAGCAACACGGCTTACGGATGACTGGACTTACTGGTGTAAGGTGCGTGGTTTTTCACATTGTAAGTTCCCTACAAATCAGGGTGTGTTTTACAGCTGGTGGCATCTGACAGTTAATCGGCAGCCGTTTTCTTTGCTGGTGGTCCCTGAGATCGCGCGGCCTCCTGCACTTCCAGTGGCACCTTACACTTGGTGGGACATAGTGGTTGCTATGGCGCTCCGTGGAATGACTTCCTCAGACACTGGGGAGCTTGGTGATTTCTGTCCTCAGCAAAAGGATTTGTACCAACTTGACTTCTCAGCTAAATAGAGCTCATATAAAGAAGCTTTAGGATTCCCACGTACCAGACAAGCGTTTAGGTTTTGGGAATTCAGGATTTAAAGATGGAGAAGGAGAAATGCCCAGCGGGAACTATTCTTCCTAGAAGCCAGAAGTGGGTGTCACTTTTGTGCATGTGACTGCCAGGTGACACACTTGAATCGCACTGGCGAACCAAAAGCAGCAGCTTAACCTCCGAAATGACCCGATTTGGGATTATAGACAACTTTTGTATACTTTCCTCTAAATTTTCTTTAATGAGTAGGTATTACTCTTCTCTGTTTAAGCTACTTAATAAAATGGAACAGTCCTTGAGTCAAGAAGATGATAATAGTAGCAGCCCTTTAATGCTATTTATCAATAAATTGCGTACTTTAAATATGTGCAGCTTGTGTTAAATTGTTTATGCCTCAATAAAGCTGCTTTGTTGTTGTTTCAAAAAACGAGTCATAGTTGAAAAGAGAAAAGAAACTCAACATCATTAGTCATTAGGGAAATACAAATCTGAACCACATGAGAAACCATTGCACATCCCCTAGGATGGCTATCATAAATTTTATAAAAATTAAAAACAGAAAATAACAAGTGCTGGTGAGGATGTGGAGAAATTGGAACCTCCAGACATTGCTAGTAGGAATGCAAAATGACTCAGCCACTGTGGAAACAGTTTGGCAGTGCCGCTTAACATAAAATCGCCACATGAACCTGCAGTTCTCCTCTTAGGTGTATCCCCAAAAGGATTGAAAGCAGGGACTCAAACAAGTACACATGCATGTGTGTTTATGGCAGCACTACTCACAATAGCCAGAAGGTGGAAACAGCCCAAATGTGCATTAACAGATGAATGGGCCTGTTAATAAAAACTGTTGTGTATACACACAATGGCACATGATTCAGCCACAAAAAGGAATGAATTACTGATACAAGCTACCACGTGGATGAATCTCCACAACGGGCAATGTAAAAGAAGCCAGGCACCAAAGGTCACATGATGCATGATTCCAGGGCTAGGAAATATCCAGAACAGATAAAGTCATGGAGCTGGGATGCTGACTGGGAGTTGCCAGGGGCTGAGGAGAGGGGCGATTGGGGGTTGCCAGGGCTGAGGAGGGGGGGCGATTGAGGGGACACTGCTTAATGCTGTGGAGTTTTATTTTGAAACGATGGAAATATTTTGCAACTAAAGAGAGTTGGTGGCTGTACAACATTGTGAATGTACTAAATGCCACTGAATTGTTCACTTTAAAGGGCTAATTTTGTGTTATGTGAACTTCACTCAATAAACAAAACAAAAAGTCTACAATACAAAAGAGAAGTGATTGTGAACTATTGTACCAGAACTTTTTAACGAGCACATTTATGCAAATGTTTTTCATTACAGTAGCTGGTAGAAATTGACCAGGAATATATCTAACATTCAACTTAGATTTTAAAAGTCAAAATGAGAAAGTTAATTGATATTTCTTGTTCTTTTAGGACTCTCAGCTGGTTTCCTCTGGACACAATAATCCAAGTAAGAAAGGCTTCTCTCTACAGCTTTATGAGTGTGTATGTGGTGGTGGTGGTGGAGGAAGGGCTGCTGAGGGGGTGAGTAGGGGAGATGTATGCAATAAACAGTAATTGTGAACGAATTTCACTATAAACAAAATCAAACGGGGAAAAAGAGGGCCATTTGTTCAAGTATGTTTCAAATGCATGAGGTTCATGTGAGCTTGAGCGCCCCTCTGTCTTTTTTCAAGGGGAGGAGGCCAAAACATAAATGGTGGTTATCAAAACAATGGAGGTTGGAGGAACATTATTCTTTGTTATAGCTGGTTTCCGGCATACGTGGAGGGGAAACATTTTTAAAAAACACTAATTAGTTATCTTAATTGAAAGAAAAAGAATGGGCAAAGAGAACCAATCAGAAGACCTCAAGATTAACGGCCTTAGAATCCATGAGGAAACCATGCCCTCTCTCAGAGACAGACAGACTGAAGTGTCGAGGAAGGAATTCCTTATTGAATCCAATGCCACGGCTTCGTTGTCAAAGAGAGGATGTTATCATCCCATGAAGTAGTGTTTTCATTCACTTCTCTGGCACTACTAATTGTTGTTAATGTTTTCTTGAGCATTAAAAATGCACACGCCATCTCATTCGTGTCATGAACAACATCCACAAAGACTGGGCTTTGTTCCATCGATGACCAGCCAGTCAGCTGAGAGTACCCCTTGGCAATTACAAAGCCGTGTTTGAACATGAAAATCACTCTGAGCAAGCAGATGTGTCTTTGGAACTGAGGCTCGCTCACTGAGCATCTGTGAGGGCAGGAGGGCTGTGCAGAAAAGACAGGCAGAGAGATGTGTTAGGACGCCCAGACTTCCCATGCACAGCAGGAGAAAGGTCAGGGTAGGGCAACGGTGGCATAATGATGCATAGGCAGTATCACTCAATCATCTCACCCGTGGCTGGAATTTGCTGTGAGCACATACCAGCAAAGAGGAGAAATGCCAAGGGACTTGAACCCTAAAGAACATCCTAAATTCAGTAGTAAGAAAAGGAATCGGGAGAAATGCACGGTTAAATCCATGAGCTGTGCAGGCGTCAGCACCATGTGCCAAAGACCAGAGTATACAGAAAAAGTGCTGTTACTTTCCTCAGCGTGTCTTTCCATTTGAATTTAAACAGTTCAGGGCAGAGGGAGGAGACAATAGGTGAATAAAAGTACCTTCTCTCAGCTTGGAGTTTTTGACGTAAAGAACAAAGGAAGGAAGTATCGAGTCTCTTCCATGTGCCCGCACCTGGACGCACGCTACTTCACTTAATCCTAACAGTGCCTGGATGAGGTAGGCCTGATGGTCCCCATTTTGCACATGATGAAATGAGATTCTGAAGTTAATAGCCAACCTTGTTTTTAGTGAAAAAAAATGACAACGAGGGTTTGAATGCAGGGATGTCTGCCCCAAAGACAACAGACTTTCCCTCCCCTAACCTTGACCCCAGAAAGGTTGCTTCTGATGGTTCAGTGTGAAGTTGAATTCTTGTCCATAACTGTATACCGTGGGTTTTGTGTGCATCCGGGATGTTGTTACAGCATGCCCTGTCAATGACCAGCTAAAGCTGCGTTTGGCTTATGAAAAAGCAGACCCTCGTCTGTGGAATGTGAGGTGGCACCTGCCGCGGGTGGTATGAAACCCTCTGGCAGTCCATCGCCCAGGGAAATCTCTGATTGGCTTTTCTTTTTCTGGGGGTAGGGAGGTTATTTTTTGTGTTTTTAAAGTAAATCGTCTCCTAAAGCCAAGCACATCTATATACAGATAATATCACTGTTTAAAAATCTGAGCATTCACCTGGATTACAGCACATTAAAGCTTTAGGAGAGCTGGTCTCACCAGCGTGCCTCTGCTGCGTCTTGTATTTGGTTTGGAATCCTTACAGTTTGGGGAATGGTGACTTTCGTAAATATGTAGAAAATAAAAAGCACTCTGAGCTTTAGAGAAACCAAACACGAAATGTGTGTGTGTGGATTGATGAGCTAACCATCACCACTTCAGGTCAATGCTGCTTTTTCTTTTTGAAGTTGGAGATGTTGTATGATATAGATACTAAGAGAAAAGAGTATGTTAATTGAACAGAAAATTATTTTTAAGCCAGATCTTTTAAAGGATCCTTTAGTCAGTTTGCTAAATTACTGGTTAATTTAATTTAATTTTAGAAAATAAAAGCTTATTAAGCATTGAGAAACTTAAATATTAAAAGAGGTGACCTATGTCTACATTTTATTAAAGTTTAGAGGTGCCCTGTTCAAGGGACAGACTGAGCATGAGCGCTCCCCCTCCCTCCAGAATCTCTGTTTAAATAACCAGAACTTTGTCGCCATGGACATACATCTGTAATAGCGCTGAGGACAGAAAAGGGTGCATCAACAAACCAGAAATTCAGGTGAGTTTCTAGAAAACAGAGAGTAGACAGGACCCTCCTATTAAGTAATCCTGGGCAAGGAAGGTCATAATGAAACAAACAGAAACCAGCTCTAGTGGTGGTGGGAATGTCCTTGGGACTCCAAGACAGACCCCAGATTTCTGCTCAGTCTCACAGGGAACAGGCCTGGCGCTCAGAGCGTGGTAGGGACCTGGGCCGTTCCTCCACCTATAGCCCCTCCACCCCCATCCTAGCTGGTTCCCATACAGAGCTTTCCATCTGGATTCCCCCAAAAAACAAACAAACAAAACAAAACAACAAAATACCAAATAACACGGTAACGTTTGCTAAGAAAAGAACAGGTGACCAGATGCCCTAGTTGGGAGCTGATACCTAAGAGAAGCGGTATAGATTCTGAGGTAATACCAGACTTTAAAAAAAGACATATGTGAGTGGGGGAAGAAGAGTTAACTTTTTTCAAGATGGAAATAAACAAAAATGCCGCACACCCGGAGTAAAGGGCTTCTCCCTTGGTGTGGAGCGTGATGAGAGGATCAGGGCTCCCAGCTTGTCCTGAGGTCTCTCTTCTCCCAACCCTGGATAAAGTCTGCAGTTAACATACCCTCCCACTTACAAAGAGCTCAGAGCAGCATTTCCTACCAGGGAGTGTGTGTTAGGGAAATGGATCAGTGTACTACTACAGGAAACCCACATCAGTTACCTTTGTTAACCAGCCTGCTATCACTCAAAACATGGATGTGTCACCAATAAGTACCAAAGAGGACTGACGCCAGTGGAAATCCACTTAATTCAAGAAACAGAAGAAAAAATGTAAAGTATAGTTACAGCCTTCAGAAACATTTGAAATTATTAAATGAAAGGAGAGAACAGAGTGGTATGAAAAAGAAGCAGTTGCAGAACAAATGAGCACTTGAGAATTAAAAATATGTTTCACAAAAATTAATAGAAATGATTGGTAATAGTGGAGTCTATAACTTGTAATATAAAGTTGAAAACATTTTTTTCTGAACATAAAGCAAAAGACAGATGGAAAATTTGAAAGGAAGTTAAGATACATGGAAGATTAATTGGGGTGGAAAGGTCAAAATCCAGCTAATAGGAATACCAGAAAGAGAAAACAAAATGGAGAATAAGTAATAATAGAACCATAATTCCAAGAGAGATGAGTTACTCCATATCACAAACACTATATACAGTGAAGCAAGAGACCATGAACAAGAGTAAGGAGAACAGCAGACGCAGAGAATTAGACAGACCCGTAAGGACTTCAGACATCAGGATTATCCAGCCCGAATATAAAATAAGAGTGCTTGCTTCAGTTTCCAGAATGAGACATTTGAGAATGTGGTTAAGAGCAAGAAGATTTGAAGAAGTACTAATCAGACCTCTAGAAATGAAAAAATAATAACAAATGAAAATTTCCTCATTCAGGTTGAACAGCAGATTAGATACAGCTAAAAGCATTAATGTATTGGGAAATTGAATTTAAGTAATTATCTAGAATGCAGCCTAGAGAAAATGGAAAATATGAAATGGAAATTAAGAAACGTATGGGATATTCCCTGGCTAGTGTGACTCAGTTGGTTGAGTGTTATCCCATGCACCACACTGAAAGGTCACTGGCTCGATTCCTGGTAAGGGCACGTGCCCAGTTTGTGGGTTCGATCCCTGGTTGGGATGCATATCGATGGATGTTCCTCTCTCTCTCCATCTCCCTTCCTCTCTCTCTAAAAAATAAATAAATAAATAAAAGTATATTTAGAAAAAGGAAACGGATAAAGAAAGAAAGTCTAGCATATATTTAAGTAGGATTTCAGAAAGAGATGAGGGAACAGAGGAAATATTAAAGAAGATAATGACTGAAAAAAATTTAGAATTGAATACACTAACCCACAAATTCTAGAAACCCAATGCATATTAAGCAGTAAAAATAAGAGGCCACACTAGACACGTTATAGTTCATCTGAAAACCACATAGATAAGGAAACAATTCTTAAACTGCCCTTTAATACCTTCAAAGAAGCAACAATTAAACTTCCAGTTGACTTCTTTCTCAACAGCTATAGGAAATAGTGCAATTATAACTTCACTTTTGTGTATCTGGAAATTGACAAGGTGATTCTCAAATTTCTTTGATAGAACAAAGGCCCAAAAATAGCTCAGACACTCCTAAAGAACAACAAGGTTGGAGCCTTGCCTTGCCCATATTAAAAATATATAAATGTTTTTAGCTAAGTAATACAGACAGTAATAGGCAAATTGAGCAATGAAAGATAATATGAGACCTAGAAACAGGCCCACAAATATATAAAAATTAGATTCATGAAAGAGCTGATAATGTAGATCAATGGAGAAAGAATGAGCTTCTTAATAGATAGTACCAGAATAATTGGTTATCTATGAGAAAAATGAAATTACCTTATGTCATATAAAAAACTTCTCCTGGTATTTGTAGAAGATCTAAATGTGAACAGTTTAGTTATACACTTTCCAAAGACAAACTAGAACATATTTTGGTGTACTTCTTAAATACAAATAAAACAAAAGTATAAAATATAGGAAAATATTGATATATTCAAGTAAATTAAAATTGAGAACTTATAATCATGCGCAGATACCAGAAAAAGAGTAAAAGACTCACACTGGGAAAAGTTACTAGAGGGTGTGTGTGAGAGAGAGAGACAGAGAGACAGTAACAGAAGACTTGTATCAAGACAATGAAGTGCTTCTATGAGCTAAAAAATTACAAAAAAATTTTTTAATAATTTTTTTATTGTCTAAAGTTTTACATATGTCTCCTTTTCCCCCAATTGACCCCCCCCCAAGCCATTCCAACCCCGGGCAAGCCCCCACCACCCCAGGGTCTGTGTCCATTGGTTATGCTAATATGCATGCATACAAGTCCTTTGGTTGCTCTCTAACTCCCCCTCCCCTACCATTTGTCTCTAGATCGATCTATTCTTGTTCATCAAATCATATTGATCATTATATCCCACATATGAGTGAGACCATGTGATATTTATCTTACTCCGACTAACTTATTTCGCTTAGCATAATGCTCTCCAGTTCCATCCATGTTGTTGCAAATGGTAAAAGTTCCTTCTTTTTTATAGCGGCATAGTATTCCATTGTGTAGATGTATCACAGTTTTTTTAATCCATTCATCTGCTGATGGGCACTTAGGCTGTTTTTTTGAGAAATGAGAAGGAATGTCACAGAAGAGCAAGCACAAAATATCTCTTCCACATTGGTACTCAGAGAAATGCAAACACTACACTGAAATTTCACTTTATATTATTAAATGAGAAAAACCATTCTTTAATGTTTGACTGTAAGTTAACTTGGAACCAGTTCAGCATTCCCTGGTGAGGTTGGACATGTGAAAGCCCTGTGGCCCACACTCCCAACGTGCATGAGAAAGGGTGTTCGTGAACATGTGTAACTGTGTCATTCATATGGAAAAACCTAAATGTCCAACCAGTAGAATGAATGGAAAAACCCTGGTAGGTTTTTTTATAGTCTGCACAGCAGTGAACAAACCACAGCTCTGTGCCCCATGGTGGCTGGGTCTAAACATCATGGTCGTGAGTGACAGAAGGAAGTCTCGGAGGAAGGCATACAGTATGATTCCATTCATGCAAATTTCAGAATCAGGAAAACTGAAGAATATTTTATTTACTAATAAACGCATGGGGGGTAAAGACTATCAAGAAGGGAAGAGAATGACTAGCACGAAATTCCGCTGGGAGGGACAGGAACTTAGAGACTCTGGGGTTATTTCTTGGCAGTGTCTTCTTCACAGTTAACTCATTTTAATTTTTAAAAAACTGTATGTATGCATTTTATGGACATTAAACGCATGTTCTGTTGAACATTTTCTAAGGAAAAGGGGAGACTTGAGACCAATTAAGCTGTGGCATGATGGAATTAAGAATGAGACTCCCTGGGGCCTCAGGGCAGGGAGTGCTGGCCTTCACTCAGGCTCAGTGGCTTTCTCTTCTCAACAGGCCCAGTCCCCTTTCTTCACGGACTAATGTTTATATTGTTGCAGTATTTAAACTTCTGTTATGGGTTTATAATTTTTCTAATTGGCCTATAGGAAAGTCTAAAAGTTAAGTTATTAAGTTAAGATGAACGAGGATGCCTCATTAATAATCACTGAACAGAATATAAATATTTTAAGTCTCGGCTATGCAGATGGAAGGGATAGCTGTGCAGTTGTGGGTGATGGAGGGCGGGAAGGCAGGCGAGAATGGGTGGGGGAATTTCCTCATTGTGCATAGTTTCAGAGGAAAGATACTGTCAGAAGTTGATTAATCAAGAAATGGATGATTAAATGTATTGAAAGTTATAAATACTCACTGGAGGCAGTAAAAGTAATGATAGGACTAATAAAATTGTAAGGAGAGGGGAGGTGGTAGTATATTAAGTACCTTATCTCGCATCCTTCATATCAGAGATCTTTAGGTGCCCTCTAATGTTGACACATCTAGAAATACGTGTGTTACTCAGAGTGGTGGCTGAAGGGCTCACAGAATAAAACCAGAAGCCAGCAAAGGTGCCAGCTTTTCTCTGCTGGTCGATTGTTTTACCATCCACGTGGATTACTTGTATTATAAAGAAGAGTTGTAGTTTAGTAAACCTTACCTGTGCAGCAGAATCCAGCCTAGCGCAACCTATATTTGTCCCTGTTCAGACATCCTGAGTCCCTCTCTGGGCAGGGTGTTGGAGAGTGTGAGCCTCCCCGTGCACTCGCTTAAGTGTCTGAAGGGCACCAATTCGGTATTTTTTCTTTTGTGACTTATTGGAGTCATCAGATTGTTTAATATTGGAACTGTACATTCATCTCTCCCCTGTAGTGTGGGGTTCTGAGCTCATGACAGGCATCAGACTTAAGACAGACGCTGAGCGTGCAGTGTGTCAGGGACTGTGCGAGGCACGGAGACCCTGCGAAGCATCAGGTTGAAAGTACACATATACTACACATATGTATCTACATGATTTACTTGTGTGTACATGTGTCTGTGTGTGTGAGGCCTTGCTGTGGCTCATTTTTCCCCTCTTCCTCTCTGTAATTATATTTCCATGTGCACCCTGCACCCGGGCCAACCTCTCTGTCCATTTCCTTAATGATCCATGCCGGTTCCCTCCCAGAGGAACCCGCGGGGTATCCATCATGAAAACAGTTGACATAGCCAGGATGACCCCAGTCCTCCTTGGTAGCTGCACAGAAACATCTAGCTTTCATGCATAATTTTCCCTTGTGTCATGAGAAAGAAGCGGTGGCTCTTAATGACGTAGGCACTTAAACATTTCAAGGGAACTTCAGATATTGCATCACCTACAATTGCAAGATGTTGGGAGAATCTTATTTCATTCTTTTTGAAAGACAAAAATAATTTGGTCCCTTTCTCCCTCCTGCACCTACCCTTCCCCAGAAGGTGCTGCGCGCACTCCCTCCCAGGCTGTTCCTAAATGTCTCCTTTGGCCCCGGGTGTCCTAGCTGCTGGCCAGAACCTCCTCTCTTGTCCCTGTCGCCACAGCAGAAGTGCTGCTCGGGGCAGCTTTGTCCCTGCGCTGGTCCAGCCCGACTCCCAGCCCCCGGCCCCACGTGCAGAGGCCTGTGTCCTCTCCACCTGCGGGTTCTTGGCAGAATTGTTGGCCAGGGAAAAACATTTACTCAAACATCCAGTGTCTTCATTGACAGTCCCGGTTTCCTGTTTTCTTGACATAAGTTGTTTGGAAATGTTGACTGTTTCCTGCTGCCGCCTGGCTATTTCACACTCTGTTGTGATTGTATTCAGTGTGGCTGCAGGCAGTGCTAGGCTGGGGAAAGCAACAACTTCCTCCAAATTAAAGGGAGGGGGATCAGTCTGGAGACTGGAACCTCTGCGTAGCTTTCTCTCACATAGCGCGAGTATAACTATATAGGGTTCTGGCAGGAATTGCCGCCGCTGCATGGAAGAATGACTCTGGAATGGACTGAGGAGGTTGTTTTCCAGCTCTCAAGCCCGTGATGAGGCCTCTCGTGTCTGAGGCACCACAGGTGTGGCCTGGAGGACGGACGCGACAGTACAAGCTCTAGAGCCACTTCATTGGTTTGCTGCCTCTACTTGCGCTTCCGCGTGGTTTCCTGTGCACGGGGCCCGTTAATCAGCGTTTGTTACCCAGGCGGTGAAGTCCATGGTTGGCTTTCTGATGAAGTGGCTGTCCCTCGTAGCTGTCCCCACGCCCAGTTACCTCTGTTATATCTAAGGCAGACGTGTGAACCACATCTACCGGTCTTCTTTCTCTCACAACTTCAATTTCCTAAAAGAAAAAAGAAGAAATGATCAAGTTTGGTTTGGGGTTCCGTTTGGACAATATCTTCAGAATGTGATCATCATGCAGTGTAGGGAGACCGTGCTGACAAAAGGGGCCTGCACATGCGTAGGCCTGGGCCCAGCAGAGCACACCGGGGGCGCTGTGAGACCTCCAGGCCAGACTCAGATGGCAAAGCAAAGCAACTGCCACCATCAGGCCCATTGCCCACAGCTCACAGCCTGGCCTGGGGTTTATTAAACTGTTAGCACAGCACAGCCATCGTCACACAGCCGACCCACACTGGCAGTCACGACCCTTGCTCCTTCATCTCCCAAAAGGTAGCACCTTACAGCACCAGGACGCGTAATTCAAACGCCCAGTGTCCGAGGATCTAAGAATTACAGTGTCTTTGCAAGAGGAATTTGCCCTTTAAAACTACGAAAGGTGAACTGGTTCCAAGCCCCCGTAGCTAAATCCTTGATGACCACCGTGAAACATTTCTCTACCTAACCTGTCAGATAGGAAGGATTTCTGGTTTACATCTTATTCTGCACTAACTGGGGAGGGAGGGGGCAAAACCTAAGCCAGGGCTCTTGGTAGGGGTATTTCTTGGGGACCTTGTCACCTAGGATACAACCTCAGTAAAATTCTCTCCTCCGAGTTCTGACGCAGCCAGACCTGGTTCGGCTTATGTTAGCAAAAGGGATCGAAGTTCAGCACGCCTTGCATGTGGAATGCGAATGGGGTTTATTTCCTTAAATGTTCTGTAAAGTGGAGTGGAAGGAAACAGGTTCCAGCTGTCAGATATTCATCTCCTGGCGAGGTTTCCAGTCTGAGTCTCTGGTTGTTTACAAACAGCTCCTTAGTACCTGCTCACAGATCCGTGCCCGGGCAGTGGTATTACAGAGAAGAAATTATTTTGCAAATCCGGTTCTCAGACATAAAAAGGTGTTTTAAAAGCCTCCTGCTGCACATTTTGAAAAATTGTTAATAGGAAATAGGAGTATTCAAATGTATTTAATCTCTCTTAAATATTTAAGACGGTGATACTCACATGTTGGGTGTTTTTTTTTTTCTGCTTCCTTTTTAAGAGAAAGGTGATGCTGAGCCCGAGAGTCCAGACAATGGCACCTCGAATACATCGTAAGTCTCTTTCCTCTTTCTGTTCGTGATGGCGGTTCTTTAATGTGCCTGTAATACGGAACAGTGCAAGTGCCGCGTAGCAGTAATAATAATAATGGGAGAAGGGCCAGTTCTCCTTCTCCTGATAACGTATTTTTAAGTGCTCTGAGTACACACGCATTTGGAGGCCTTCCTTGTGCTTTAACACAGAAAGAATAATATCAGAGACACAAGTGCTCTTCTTCGGAAAGTCCAGGTGTAATGAGATGGGGGGGCACACACTGGTGAGAATGTGTTTGAGACTTTCATCGTCACTGTTGTACATAATGTAGAACTTGGCTCACCTGCGGGAGGCATTGTCCCGCACACCTGGGAGGGACCGATGTCATTCAAAACGCCTGCCATCGGCATCCTCCCCTCGGAACTTTGTGAAAAATACAGATATCTCAGGAATCTCACGAGTTTGCTGACGTTTTTGAAATAACAAAAGCATTTTTTAAAAGAGAAGAAAAGGCCCTTCGAAAGCACACGTTCCTCGCTTTGCATGTTGCTGTTTTCCTCTCGGTGCTCAAGGAATCCAAAAGTGTTAATGATTCCGTTGATACCAAATTTATACACCAGAGTTTAAATGAAATAATTCAGGAGCTAACAAATTATTTTAGGAATCACATTTGCTCTTTGAAAATCTTTAACCCTGAGGGGGAACACGGTTTCCTTATTCCTATATGGTTTGTGAATTCATCTTTATGTGGGTCAGCTCTCTTACTACTAAGCTTTTAAAATGCTACTCAGTAGAAATCACAGTTTGTGATATAATATTATTGAGTGTCTTAGTTTGTCTAAGATCTGTTTCTCAGTCTAGAAAAATCCTTCGGCTTCCCTTACGCACAGGATGGCTACATATTTCATAGTGGATGTGATTATATGTTGTGTTCCTGAAGATGTTACACTAAAAGTTCTAAACAGTTCCATTGCTATGATTTCTGATGATATATAGTACATTGATTAGTTTTAAATGGTTAAAATATCACTAGCTTTAAAATTTTTATGCTGCAAAATATAATGGGGAAAGGGTTTTAATGCCATCTGGAGGCATTCTAGAGAACTGAAAAGGGTAGAATCATTTAAAAATTTGGTTCTTTTAAATAACATTTGAGACTGGATGCGAATTTATACAACTATAATGTAAGCTATTTGGGAGTAAGTTGTATTTTTATAAATAATTTTATAAAAGTGGTAATTATTGCAGAGACAATAACTTTTTAAATTTCTCATTTAAAAAACATCACTTACAAAACAAAATATATTGGAAAACTGCTAACATCCTGCATTTAATTGTACAAATTTTAAATCTCATTCAGTAGACACCAATTTTGTTAATGCAGTTTGATGTACCGTGAAAGTTCTTCTTTCCTTATGCATTCCTAAAAAAATTCTGTTCTCTAAGGGAATTGGTTTCCACACCTCAGTTCCTTGGGAAATGTGTTGTCTGAGTTGTTCTGTTAAATTCTGTTATCGCTGGCGATCTGAGGACGGGGAACGCTGGGTGCATCACCCCACACTCCTCTCTCCTCAAGCACAGCAGTTGCTTAGCCATCGGCCTCACCCGCCTCTTGAACTATAATAGCAGAACTAAGCTGAGGTTGCAAGGATCTCTGGTAAAAGTGGAGGATTCTGAACATGGGCCCCTGGAGGAGCTCGCCATCCGGAGTTCTGTAGGAATTAGGCCAGAGGAGCAGCGTGTATGATCGGAGAGCCAGGGCTTGGCACGTTACAGTCCCTGTCAGTACCTTGTCTGGGCTTTATTTAGGTGGGCAGGGACAATATCCTTACTTTGTCTAGAAAAAGCATGTCAAACTCGCAGCCTGTGGGCCGCATGTGGCCCACAACGAATATTTTTTGCAGCCCAGCCAATATAATGGTATGTAAGAAACATTTTAGTAAAAATTTCATAACTTAATGTTTATAATATCCTGTTATACATAATTATTAATAACGAACTACAAGTTCGCTAATGACTGATCACTATAATTGTGTTGCATTCACTTCCCTTACAGGCGCACCATTTCTCTCCACTGATATTAGCAGGGAATATTTTAGCAGCTGATGGCCATGTCATTAGTCTTGGACTAACTTGTTTGGTGTGCACAACAGGAAATATTTCACTTTCGGAGAACAAAAAAATAGGTTTATTTGTGTTACAATTATTAATTTGTTCAGTTAATCGGTGTCTGGTAAGTTAATGTTCAAGAAAAAATATTAATTTTTATTAAAATGTTCTATTATTTTATGTTAACAATTACTCATTTATTTCAGCCCTTTGTATTCAGCATGTCTCTATCGAATTAAACCTACATTTCTTTGAAAATTGAAGCTTTAGTTTTTTTTATGGCCCACATAAGCTTAAACCTTGTTTATTTGGCCCATGTTAGCCTTTGAGTTTGACATGCTTGGTCTAGAACAGTGGTTCTCAACCTTCTGGCCCTTTAAATACAGTTCCTCATGTTGTGACCCAACCATAAAATTATTTTTGTTGCTACTTCATAACTGTAATGTTGCTACTGTCAAGGGCGGGGGGGAAAAAGGACACATATGTAATACCCTTTGTAATACTTTAAGCAATAAAAAAAAAAATGAATTGTAATGTAAATATCTGATACGCAGGATGGTCTTAGGCGACCCCTGTGAAAGGGTCGTTGGACCACCAAAGAGGTCGCAACCCGCAGGTTGAGAACCGCTGGTCTAGAAGGATCAGAAAAGACATTCAACTTAAGTAAAAAATAGTAGGTTACAAATTTTTGGATATTTTGGATTTTGCCCATTAACTCTAAGGAGTCAGTGGATCTTAGGAGACAAAGTAAAGCCATGAGTCAGAATCAAGTAGAAAAACTGGGGTCCAACTATTTGTTAAGTGGTTAGTGTGTTAGTTTGCTGGGGCTGCTAAGGCACAAAGTACAACAGACTGGGTGCCGTAAGCAACAAAAACGTATAATCCCATGGTTCCGGAGGCTGGACGTCCAAGATTGGTTTCCTCTGGGAGGGAAGGATGTGTCCAGGCCTGCTGACTTGTTCTGCAGGTGGACTCTCCTCCCTGTGTCTCTTCTTCTTACCTTCCCGCTTGTGTCCGTTTCCCCTTTTTGTAACAATGCCTGGTATCTTGGATTAGGGCCCGCCCTACAGGCTTTGTTTAATCCAATTACCCCCTATAAAGCCCCTGTCTCCCAGTAGTCTCATTCTGAGAGGTTAGGACTTCAGCATATGAATTGGGGGAGTGGGGAATTTAACTCAAAACATGAAGGGTCACAGTAATCAGAATGATTCCAGTGTCAGGTTGGCAGTAGCAGGTGTGCAGATGCCAGGAGATAGAACAAGGGGAGAGAATCTCAGTAAAACAGACCAGAAATGATGAGCTCATGGGAGCTGAGGGATGAAGCAGAACAAAGAAAACTGCAGATAACACACACACGGGATACTACGAAAGACATCATTTTCACACCTGTGATCTGGTGAGAGAGACATGGCTTTAGTAATGCCTGTATAACACTCTGTCTGTGCAACTCCCTGACCCTGGGAGTCACTTAAAACCATCATGTGGATTTAAATTCAAGTATGAAGCTGGGAGCCTGCAGACAGAGAGCTAATTTCCTAAAAAGGAATCTTTCCTCACTGGAGATGAAATCAGCAGAAAATGCATCATGTTAAGTTTTAGGCAGTCATTGCCTGATAGGACAAGTAGCTGGGTAACACCCAAAGATCCCTTCAGGAGCTATTATTCAGTAATACTATGAGTATTCAGAAAGATGAAATGTGTGGTATATTCTTAACACACACAAAACACCAAAAGTTGGAACCTCTGTCACGTACCAATAATGTTAATGATGGGAGACCTTATAGTGGATTAATACTCTTGCAGAGAATTAACTATTAAAAAAAATCCTGGACAAAATGTTTTTTAAACTGTTTGTTAGAAAGCAGAAACTGTTGGTAATTTGATCCTTGAAAGAAGAACATTGGGCGGGTGAGATCTACGTTTATACAGCTTCTCCCCTAAGAGTACGCCCCAATCCATGTAGGACAGTGGTTCTCAACCTTCTGGCCCTTTCAATACAGTTCCTCATGTTGTGACCCAACCATAAAATTATTTTCGTTGCTCCTTCATAACTGTCATGTTGCCACTGTGATGAATCGTCATGTAAATATCTGATATGCAGGATGGTCTTAGGCGACCCCTGCGAAAGGGTCGTTCGACCGCCAAAGGGGTCGCGACCCACAGGTTGAGAACCGCTGATATAGGACAACAAGAACTCAAGGAGAAAGCCACAGTCGTATTGGCAGGTAGTGTCGGAGGATGGAGCTCAGGGCTGCCAGAGTGACAACACAATGTCGGGAGAATGAGAAGGCTGACAGAACATGTCTGCCAAGGACACGTCTGATAAAGGACTGACATCCAAAGCAAAGAATTCTTAAAACTCAGCAGTAAGAAAACAACCCAAAAGTGGGCCAAAGAAGGTACCCGACATTTCACCAAGGAAGAAATACAGATGGTGAATGAATAATCACATGAAAAGTTGCTCCACATCATATGTTATCAGAGAAATGCCAATTAAAACAGTGATGTGCCGCTATTACAATCACCAAAACACAGACAGCACCAAATGCTGGCGAGGATGTGGAGCAACAGGAACTCTCAAACATTGCTGGTGGGAACTCAAAATGTTACGGCCACTTTGGAAAACAGTTTGATGGTTTCTTACAAAACTAAATATACTCTCGCCGTATAATCCAGCCATTATGCTCCTTGGTACATACTCTTGGGGTAAAGCTGCTGAAAACTTACATACACACACAAAATTTGCCTCCCTCTAAAAAAATAAGAAATAAAAAATATTTACAGAAAGGATAAATATTTATGTGGCAGCTTTTCTTCCCTATAATGATAATAATTAACATGTTTTGAGCCATTACATTGTCCACATACTAGTCTTAACACTGGACATGTTTTATTCTTACAAAAAAAAAAA